ACGAGGAGACTCATGCTTACCTATTACCTTTGCCCTACGCCATTTATTTTCATCTCTGTATACAATATTTTCATTCTCCTTAAAATCCGACCTATCTCTCACATGCCTATCATAATATTCCTTGTAAGTAACATTTCTGTCTCTCAAAACTTGTTTAAAGTCTTTAATTTCACTGTTTTGACATTCTACTATCGGTAATTTAGTTTTCAGCTTTCTAGAAAATAGCAGTTCCGCAGGTGATCTTTTCAAACTAGTTATAGGAGTATTGCGGTACTCCATTAATGCAACCCAAATATCATCAGCTTTACGAAGGATATTTTTAGCAGTCTGCACAAAACGTTCCGCTAAGCCATTAGACCGTGGATATCTAGGGCTACTAGTTTGAAACTTAAAATCGAATTCTTGTGCAAAACGCTTACAATCATATGAATTAAATGGCATGTTGTCTGCAATAACGGTATCAGGAACTCCATGAGTTGCAAATATCTGTTTAAGGGCATTTATAACATCAACAGACTGCTTGCCCTTTAAACATATTATTTCCAACCATTTAGTCAGGTAATCTACTACAATTAAATAAGATTTGCCACCATGCTCCAAAATATCACATCCCAATTTTTGGAAAGGTAGCTCCGGAATTTCATGTGACAAAAGTGGTTCTTTAACATTTGCATACCTGTATTTCTCACACACTCTACATTCTTTAATTTCTTTCTGGATATCCGTACACATACCTGGCCAGAATAGAACATTACGTGCCCTGTCTGTCGTACGATTTATGCCAAAATGGCCCTCGTGTAATATTTTCAGCATGTTTCCACGTAAAGCCTTGGGTACAATAACCCTGTCATTGAAAAACAAAAGATTATGTGCACTATGCAAATCAGCTCTTAGATTATAATAAACTTGAAGCTCTCCCTCATACTTCTTTTTCTTCCATCCTTTCATACAATACTCCTGTACTTTGCTCAAAACATCATCTTTCATACTCTCCTTTCTGAATTCCTCTTTACGACTTTCACTCATTCTCAAGTATTTCTCAACACCATGCACCATATCTTTCAAATCCTCATCATTCTCTGCTTTTTCGCCGCTAACATTTCTAGACAAACAATCAGCTACATACAAATATTTACCTGGCAGATACTGAATCATTATATCATATTTTAATAATTTCAAACGTAATCTTTGTAATCGGGGTGAATTTATAGACGAAATTTGCTTATTTAAAATACTTACATTGGGTTTATGATCTGTTATTACCTTGACTGGGCGTCCATAGATAAAATTGTGAAATTTTTCGCAAGCATAAACAATTCCCAACATTTCTTTTTCAATTACTGCATATCTTTTTTCAGTATCTGTCAGGCTCCTGGATGCATAAGCAACAGGCCTACCCTCCTGCATAAGACAACAACCTAGACCATTCTGCGATGCATCTGTTTGAATTATTATGTCTTTACTACAATCAAAATTTTTTAACGTCACATTTTTTGCTATTTCTTTTTTAATTATGTCAAATGCCTTGTCATGAATACCCAACCATTGGAAAGTTATATCCTTTTTAAGTAATTGATAAAGCGAACTAGAGATTTCACCCAGTTTAGGAACAAATTTTCTTACGTAATTTATTAACCCTAAAAGCCTTTGAAGCTCCTTTTTATTTGCAGGAGGGTTCAGATCATTAATGGCTCGAATCTTCTCATCATCAATTTTCATACCTGATTCATTAAAAATGTGCCCCATATACTTAACCTCAGTTTTTCTAAATTGAAACTTTTGTTTGTTGAACTTTACACCCTTTTCTCTAGCTCTACACAAAACTTGTTCTAATACCCTATCATGTTCTTCCATACTTTCACAAGCAATCAGCAAATCATCAAAATATATGATTATATCTTTTATGTCACCAAAATTTTTCAGATTTATTTTCTGAAAATACTCAGGGGCTAGATTTAATCCAAAGGGTAACCGGAGAAACCTGTAACACCCAAAAGGGGTTGCGAACGTTGTCAACCTGCTAGAAAAGTTATCCAATCTAACTTGATAAAATCCGTCTTTAAAATCAAGAACTGAAAAGTATTTTTTACCTGACAATTTTGAACTAATTTCCTCTAAACTTGGAATCTCAAAAAACTCTCTTTTAATACATTTATTTAAGTCCTGTGGATCCAAACACAAGCGCAAGGATCCATTTGGCTTTTCAACAATAACTAAATTGTTTACCCATTCACTTGCCTCACTCACTTTAGCAATAATACTTTTACTTTCTAATTTATCCAATTTTTGTTCAAGTTTATTTTTTATAATCAATGGTACTCTTCTAGCAGGCTTGGCAACTGGTTCACTATTTTCCTTTAAGTGAATCTTGCAAACATCGGCAAAACTTCCCAAACCTTCAAAAATGTCAATATTATCTCTAATTATTTTTTCTTTGCTAGTCTCATAGTATTTACTCACATATAAAGACTCTGATTTTTTTATAAAACCTAACAAATAACATGTAGGTAGACCAATTATTGGCTTTGCCTCTAAATCTACAACTAAAAATTCTAAAATAAAACTATTACCTGACCTTATACACTTCAATTTAACTTTCCCCACCGGCTTCAATTTTGCACCACCATAGGCTTCTAAAATCGTGTTACACTTTTCCAGATTATAGCATTTACGGCTGCCCAATATTTCTAAAAGTTTTTTAGGCAAAATGTTCACTTCCGACCCTGTGTCTATTTTGAAATTAATGTCCAAACCATGTACACTAATTTTCTCAGTCCAAACAAGTTTATTTGCACTAACCAATTCTCCAATTCTGCTTAAGCTGTGCACATATAAATCTTCATCGGAACTGTCATCACCTCCCTGTGTTTTTTGAATAACTTCCTTTACCCTCCTAACTGGCCATTCTTGACTTTCTGGCGACTGACATACTCTACTGAAGTGGTTATTTTTCCCACACTTGAAACACTTCTTACCGAAGGCTGGACATTCAGCATACCCATGTTGCTCATTACAGTTTCTGCATTTAAACTTTTTCTTACTGGTTTCCCGGGCCTTTTCCTGAGTTTTCTCCTTAGAAATGTTTCTAACATTTCTTCCTTTGCGCAATGTGTCTACATGGGCTTCCTCTTTACCACGCACAGATTGCAACTGTCTTTTCATTACCTCGGCATTTCTGCAAGTTTCTACTGCTCTTTCCAAAGTTAATTTTTGCACATTGAGTAGTTTTTCTTGTACTGCCGGATCATTTGTGCCCAATATTATTCTATCTATTAGAATGCTATCTTCTTGTGATTCATACTCACAGCTTTGTATGAGTTTTTTAATTTCACCAAAAAAATGATCGAATGGCTCATCGTTTCCCTGATTTCTACTATTGAACACGAATCTTTCATAAGTTTTATTTTTTCTGGGGGCACAATACTTTTTGAATTCATCTACAACACTTTCAAAGTTGTCTTTTTGTGGAATCTTCAATATATTATATATTTCTACTCCTTCTGGTCCAATCATATTTAAAAACAAGGCAATTTTTATTTTATCTGACTTGGAATCTTTTTCGGTGGCTACTAAATACATTTCAAAATTTTGATAAAACCTTTTGAAATTTTCACTCAAATTTCCCTCAAACTTAATTTTTTTAGTACTTTTTACTTTTTCCCTTCGAAAACAGATCTCACAAAATTTATGTATATAAGTTCTTCTACGACTGCGCCATGTAATAATTATTGTTAGGGCTATTTGTTTAATTAATTTAAACACAACATTGTTTAACGTATGTTTATTTTCAAGTCCGATTTGCCACTAATCATAATAACAATAACTTAACCTAACTTCTAACATCCAGCTGTGACTCCGCTACTAGAGACACAGTGGCGTACCTATAACTAACTTACTGCTTAAAAATAACATTATTACACTGATGGTATCTTTAGAAAATGTTTATCTTTTACAATAGACCAAATTAAAGAAATCAGGATTAAAATAAGGATAGATCTAACAACCACGTTAAAATATTTAGCATTTTATTATTGTTATCAATATTTTGTTATTAAAAAATGGATTTTCAAATTAACTATACCATGCCTAGTATTTTCGCTTTTTTATAATTAAACGTGGCAACATGGCACATTTACGTCCGAATTCCTTCCGTAGACTGGGGCGCGTTCAGATTGAAGAGTCTGGGCGACGTCCAGTGCAGAGCGTACACGATAGAGAGTGCACTCCGAGTGTGCCTGGCGATTCGCCCAATCTGAACGGCCAAAACGCATTCTCTCCTCATAACATCACTATTTATGGGATGCTTTGATTTTGATTTTGTTGCCTTTTTAAAATTCACGGTGTGTTCGTGATTCTAACATTTTTGTAAAATAAGAAAAAAGAAAATTCAAAGATAATCAACTCTTATTTTATTTTATTTTGATTTTTTTTGGTAGAACTATCACATATAAAATAATACCTCTTAACCCTTAATTCTTATTTTAATTAATTTCCTATTTTATTTTATTTGTTGGATAAACTCGCCATAACTCCCAACAACAATATTTACAATATTTGCCTTTATTATTGGTTAGAACATAAACATAACACAAACGCGCATGCGGGGCAAATTTTATCTTACTATTTTATGGGATGCAAAAGTGTGCGTCTGGGTGTCGTCAGGTAAAAATCTACTGACAATCTGAACGGCTGGGTAAATTTTACCCAAGGCAATCTGAACGGTCAGAGCGCGCTCGGGCGACAACCGACGTTCAATCTGAACGCAGCCCTGATCCGCTGGGCAATAGTTTAGAGGATTCTTGTTTTTGCAGTTCAGTTTTGTGCATCTAACCTAACTTTCGCTTGTTAATGGGCGTTACAGCCAACTATCGAAAACTATCGATGGTTGAAAAAGATTATCGATATATTTCGATAGTCAATACTATCGATAGTTATCGATAGTTCTCCACCACTACACCATCCACTTGCCACACTTGTCATCTCTTCTGCCAAAATATTCCGAGTACTGCCGAGTGTCATTTTTTTTTTGACTTTTGTGGTGGTAACGATAACGATATAATGGCGGATGGCGAAAATGTGATTTTTCTATAATTTTCGCGTAAATTGCCGTAATTTTGGACTCAAAACGGTCTCGGGCAAACTGTTGACGAATCCAAAGTGAAACCGGGCCGTTCGTAACCATGTCGCGGGTGGGTGCAAAATAGATCCCTTCTGAGAATTAAAATAAAGTGCAGGATTTATTTTTGTTGTCCTAATTGGGCATTTTGGACATGGCCCCATTGCCCGATAATGATAAAACCCCCGATAAAAAAAAGGAGGAGGACGATGTTGAAGATAAGCCCAAGGAATCCCAGAAGGATGAAAAAGTGAGCTTTGAATTTGTTGAATACTTTTTTCAGTAGTGCGTCTTAACTGCACAAGTTCAATAGTCTCTTTATTATTAACCCCAATTTCCTTTTAAAGATACCCTCTTTTTGTATTACAAATACCATCTACAAACAATAGAATTTGATGTTAATTTGCACCTTTTTCTTGCTAGTGTTGGCAAAATTCTCGGCAAAATTGCATTATCTGAAAGATTCAAGGTTCTTCTATTCATTATTTACTTATGTAGGTATTTGAATTTTTTGTATAAAATCAAATTTAACTGAAAATTCCGCAAGAATTTCGATTTCCTTTCATATATCTTTGAGTGGCTAAAATTAAGATGTATCTATCTTGGCTTTGCTAATCTGGCTTCCTCTGTGAGTGTGGGTGGATGTAAATAGGTATTAATAACATTTCATTGAAATTGGCAATGTTTGTCTAGAATTTTGTTATTTTAATTGGGTTTGTAGTCGAATAATTTATAAATTTAGTAGTAATAGTTTTGGGGATAGGTCAGTAACAATTACATATTCCCAAAATTTATAAATCAATAATCTTGCATGGATATATACTTATCTTATCTTAGACCTTAGATCACATGATTTTTCACCTTGGGGTATTGGATAATACTAAATAAATATTAGGTAAGTCCTCTTAATTTTTAGTGTCTTTGTATCATGTACTTAATGTTTATTTAGATGACCTGTGTATCTAACTTCTGCCTGGGTAACTATGTATCAAACAATAGATGTTGAAAATGAGCATATATTGAGCTTTGTGATGGATGCACTCCCAGCAGTCCCACCAACGAAATATCAAAAAATGAATACATGGTTGGTTCACCCATTGTATGTCCAAGCAAGTCCGCTTACCCATTAAATTTTTTTGATCACCCGTAAAAAAACGTTACATACATATAATTGAACACATAAAATTTTGACAATTTTTCAACACCAAATTTTAAAATGAACAATCTAAAATTACAGATTGATCGCCCATGTTTTCCAACCCTAATTATTGTTTACCCACCTTCAAAATAGAGAAAGAAATATATCTATGGTGGGTGAGCTAACGAGTACAAGTCAAAATTTTGCGAAAATGAGTTTAAGTCATTTTGGTATATATTTTCGGTTCCTACATCGACTGGTCCAAACAGTATCAGTCAATTTATTTGAAATACTTTACTTTTAATTTCAATCCACATAGTTTAACTTAAAAGGAATTTTATTCTGTTGGGCATATCAGTATAAGTTGAATTGTGCTATTTAGATTATACACTATTAATTAAATTCAAATAGTACAAGTAGACTTATACTATTCCTATCCTGATTTTGTCGGTCGACTTATACTCTTAGTACCATTTGGTGACCAAAGAGGTTATGTTATCAGCAAAAAAAAAGGTGTTTTGTGAAAAAGAGTTGGCCTTCTTTTCCAGTTTTTGCAAATATCAAATTTTGGGTTGAGCAAAACTAGTATAAGTCATTTCTTAGGTCAGGTCAAGATATTATGTCATATTATCTTATTTCACAATAATATATGTCATCTATAGGTCTGGTCAAAAGAGTATAAGTCCATTTTTTTTTGTAATAAAAAAAAACAGAACAAAAAAAAATAAAAAAATAGATTATCTCTAATAAAAAAACACCTTTGTAAAGTTAGAAATTCGATTCGTCCGAAACAGCCACAAAAAATCCGATTATTTTAAAGTCTAATATTTCGAAAGCATTTTTCTTGATTTGTCTAATTTTGACTTGTACTCTTTAGCCTACTCACCATAGATATTTTTTTTTGTATGTATATTCAAATCTTTTATTAAAATCAGTACAAAAATGTCCCAGATGTTAAAAAACATCAAAATTTGGGTGTCTAAGCTAAAACATGCAAAAGTTTTATGTGAAAAATTGACGAGTCATGTGTGAGAAAACTACTAGAAAACTTCATTTTTTACCCTTTAGCCAGGAAGGAAAATGGTTATTTTCCTCCTGGCGGGAGGAACAGTTTCTTGTTGTGTTGTTCACAATCAAAAGTCAATAGTGGCCCATCAAGATCATCAAGATGTCGTCAATGCCAGCAGAAAAAACTATATACATAAGTACCACTAGAGAAAAATGCTTTTCCTCCCTTGGATATTAAGAATCTTTAAAATCCTAAAAATTGAACAAAATCCCACCTTAAAATCTCTTGAAATCGCATAAAACCCTGCAAAATCTCTCAAAATTTTATTAAAACTAGAAAAATTCGACAGAACAAAATATTTTGTTGGCAACAGTCTTGAGAAAAAAATCTTCTCAAAAGGCCGAGTTTAACTAATTTCATTTCTACAGAGTGTTAAAATAACCCCAGTTTAACAAAAAAGAATTGGTCCCAAATTGCCAAAAAAAATTGTTTTAGGAAAGTTGGCGAGAAGAGAATTACATATTTTTGTTTATTTTATAAGCCTACTGCTGCTGGAGGACGTAACCTCAAATTGTTCCCTATCTCGAAAATAAAGGGTGGGATTAGTACGACCATAGACTTAAATACTACGAATAGACGTCCAGTGGAAATAGCAGCACAAAAAATGCCTCAATAATTCATAAGATGGCGCCACTCGTATTAAAAATTCAAAGAAAACTGTGCTAGCACCCTTGTGTACGAGCAGCGTGTCATTGTTTCCAGGACAACCGCATTCCGCCTTTTTTCTGATGTTTCGGTGTTGTCAAATTTATACGGACAAAAAACTAGACAAGAATTCTCTTTGCTATTTGCGACTTTCGAAGAAATAAATTATTGCTTGGATTTCAAAGAACTAATTTTCAAAATCCATTTAAAAAAAAAATCCATTTCAGCTTTCACTAGAAATAGAAAACTTAACAATTTACAAAATAAGTGAAATTTATTTATATTAAAAAAAAATCTTAACATTAACAATTTATTAATTTGCGTATAATATTTAGTATAAGATGCAGTAATAAAAAAAATTGGTGTCTTAATGTATGGTTTGGCCTATTTAATGATTTTGGACTAGTTATTTTAGAACTATTGGCAACAGCGTAACGCGCGAATTTGAATTATGACAGAAATGCGCGCCATCTCGTATCTAGCATCTAAAATACCAAAGCCTGAATTGAATTTGGAGGCTCGCTTTCGATAGCGAGCCTCCAAATAGCGTCGCAGATTTTTACCATTTGACTGGACGTCTATTCGTAGTATTTAAGTCTATGGTACGACAGACGGCTGAAGAAAATATGTCGTCATAAGGGGGACGTGCGAAAAAAATATGAATATTAGTTGCGGCCCTAATTAAGAGAATATGCGAAGGTTGCCCGCAAAAATCATGCAGTGTTTTTCAAAATTTTTCCTTAGATAAATAATTGCCGTAACACTCTTTTAGAGCTTAACTTACTTCTTGTGCTGATGATGACATCTTGACTTGGCGGGGAAAGAATGTCGATGATTTAAAGAAAGTTATATCAGAGGATCTGAAGCTTTTCAAGGAATGGTGTGACGCAAACTTACTTTGTTTTAACACTAAAAAAACCAATGTAACTTTCAAATTCACTTATAATGATTTAGTTTTGAAAGCACAGCCAATTGAAGGTTCTTGGGCATCCACGTGGACAACCATCTTAAGTTTAATGAGCATGTCAAAATCTTAAATAATAATTTGGCCAGTGGCTGCTACACAGTTAGAATAGTGGTGAATGAACTAGGTTTGGATACTGCGAAATTGGTATACTTTTCGCTGGTAGAATCGCACATTATACCGGGTGTCTACGAGATCAGTTTTGCGCTGGCATTTGCTGGTTTTTTTTTCGATGGCAAAGATTTTTGGTATAGAGTGTAGGTTTGAGAAATGTCATCTTTTGACATGTGTGTCAATGTTTGGTAACTTCCGGTTTGACCGGAAATGGTCCTAACTCCGTAATTTTGAATGGCATCCCAATAATTTTTTCACATTTTTGGTATCTGCGGATCATGATGTGTACGAAAACGTCAAATTTGATCATTTTTGAAGAAGTTTTAGAACTCTGGATGAAAATTTATTTTTGAACAGAAAATGACGGAGCGGTCCTAAAATTGTTATTTTCTACCCACACAATCGTAGAAAAATGCGAGTGCCAAGATATTATCCTTCGCTTGCTCTCCAAAGGCATCCAAAGTTGAAAAAATCACATTTTGCGTGATAACTCAATGAAATCAGTGAAATCACCCAACTTTCGCAACAAGAGTTTTTTACCTTTTTCAAAATAAAACGAACTATGCATTGAAACTTTTCATTTATGCATTGCTTATTTTTGTGATAATAATGTTAATTGTTCCTAACGTTGAAATGGCCCAAAAATTTACAATCTCACACTACCACATAGTAATATTGGATAATACTTTTGTTGTAATAACTTGTTTCATGTACCTTACTTTTAATGTTTCGGTTAACTTACCAAGCTTTCTTTATTTATAGATCAACCTATGCACTTATTTTTAAGGATTTAGAATTAAGTTATAGCAGTGGCGGCTCGTGACAATCCAAACTGGTGAGGCCCATGGTCCATCGAGTTAACCCAAACAAACCCAAACAAAATTTTCAAGTGTTACGCCCAATATTTTTTTTTGTATATTTCTAATAAAATTTTTCATTTCTTACAGTTGCAAAACAACAGCAGTAGGTACATACATAATTATTATTTTAATACAAATATTGAGTTTCAAATTAACAAAATAAATTCCAAAAAACAGTTTTTTAACCCGCAACAGACGAAAATAAAAAGTATGAGCCAATTAAATCACGCACTGGCATTTGCGACTTGTCACAACAGCAAGAAATGCAAGTTTTCTTATTAACAAGCCCAAAATTGTGCGCCTCAATGCCTATAAAAATTCGCTATCGTCTCACCTACAGTTGAAGGGTTGTGGTGGGGAGTGCCATGGCATCGCTTCGGCGTTCTTTTACGCACATGAGGCCAAAATTTTTGGGATTGCTATTTCATTTTTATGCTGTCCGGCAACGACTTGAGCGCCT